ATAAAAGTGAAAGAAATAAAGTAATAATAGATAAATAAATAAGCCACGTAAAGATGGAAAATACACAGAGAGTCTGGATACTGTACACTATTGTGTTTTTCAGTTTTTTGCTTGCTCAGGAAGGAACTGATACTAAAGTACACTTGCTTATAAATGCTGCTAAATTAATACAACTTATATCTTTTGAAAATACCTTGACTTCAAAATTTAAGCATAAGGATATGTTACTCGGAAAAGGAGTTTTTATTTATGTTTCTACAGAAAATGAAAAGCTGAAGATTTCTTCCAGGCTTCTGTGGTTGCACGAACCAAGACCCCCGGAAGCAGTGGACCAGGTGTTCCAACAATTGAGACAGCTAAGATGATGCAGCTTTACAGACCACGAAAATAAGGACTTATACAGGTTTCTGAGTTTTGTCATGATCCCCATGGTATAAACAGCGCCCCCTTCCAGCAGGAAGCAGTTTGGAATGAGCGACGTCCCAATTCCCATCTTGTTTATAAAACTTTGTTTTCATTTAAATGGGATTGTTTATAATTGGCTAGTGATCACAGCCAATCTTCTTTTAATGGTAAAAAGGGGAATTATGGTATGGGTATTGTTTTTCATTTATTGATACGAATTCAAGGTCAATTTTGTGATATGTATATTTCTCCTCTTGATTAAGTATTGTGCTTATAATGATCTTTAAAACGTAATGCATAATTGAATACAGACTATAGATAGTTACTTATAATAGTCAGAATTTATAGTTAGGTAAGTTAGGTTTTCTAGATATATAGAGATGTATTTGAGACAGATAGATAGTCTTCAAACCTTTCAAAGACCTTCAGAAAATGGCATTTAAAATGGTTTAGGGTTTTTCTTGACAATGAGAAATATCTGCTCCTGGCAGCACCAATTATGTCTGAGAGGAAGATGGGCATTGAAGAAACTTGTTATGGAGTTTGCTTTCAACATGGCAAGATTAGCCATTTGGGCAAGAAACTGCTCTTGCCTGTACTGCTTGACTGTTGCTGTATAAACTGGACATGCAGGACCCACAGGAAAGTGACTACTTTACTCAGTCTTACAGGGTTCCTGCTTCATGAAAGAGTCTAAGAGACTTTCTACAGGACAAAGAAAAATGACTGACAGACTGCTAGCGCAGATGGACAGTTTGAAATTTCCTGCTTTGCTGAGAAGTGTTCCAGACACATTGTGGCCTATGGGCTGAAGATGGATGCCCCAACGTTACAGAGGAACTTCGGGTGACTGTCCAGGCAGTAAGATACCTCTGTCAATCCTAGTGTTTATATATTATCCTTCTGTGGTCTTTGATGGAGTTGAAGACAGATAGGTATAATTATAGTTTTCCTTAGTTATGATAAGAGATAAACTACATATAGGACTTTGGACTCACAAAAATGAGATAGATGATATTTTCTTTAAATCTTGCTGAATGTTGATAGACAAAATATTGTAACTGTATTCTTATTTGATAACTGTTCTGTTATATACAATTTGACTGTGTTAAAGTTAAGACCTTTCTTTTTGTTTAAACAGAAAAGAGGAGATGTTGGGGAAGTCCTGTTATTTGCCTGTGCATTTGTCAATAAAGTACTGTCTGGCCAATAGAAAACCTAGATAGGAGGGGCTAGGAGTCCAGGAGGATTCTGGGAAGGAGAAAGACAGAGGGTCGAGATGTAACCGCCATTGGGGTAGGAAGCTCGGAAACCTCTCCGGTAAGAGACATACTTAGATTAACAATTATGGGGTAAATACTTAAGTCAGAGCTAGCCAGTAAGAAAAAAGCAAGGCCAACAGCTTCATAATTAATATAGCCTCCTGTGTGTTTATTTGGGACTCATGCGAATCTAGAACCAGGCTGGCGCGGCAGAGCCCAGGCGACTGGCGGGGGATAAACCAAAGCGGCTAGCAAAAGAAAAAGCTTCTCTTAACAACAGATACCTAGAGAAGGATCAGAAAAACGTATTTAAAGAAAACAGAAAATAAATTAGGATTTTTAGTCAAGAAAGGCTGTAAAAGGAAATACAGCTATCAGATATTATATAAATTACATTATAGAAATATAACTATCATATAGTTCAAGCATCATTTGGTTTCTCTGATCTGACATTTTAAATAAGAATTATCAAGGAAGCATCTCTGATTTAATGTAAAGTTGGCTTTAAAAAACAAACAAAACCCCAGCTGTTTAGAGACAGAATCTTACTGTGTAGCACAGGTTGCCCTCTAACTCAACTACGTATAGCTCAGACTGGGCGTGTACTTGCAGTAACCCTCTTGCTTCAGTCTCCAGGTGTTGGCATCACTGGCATGTGCCACCATTTCTGGCTTGGCTTGGCTTTTGTTTACTACAAAAAACAAATTTTGAAAACAGTATAGACCTTCTAAGCCCGGTGAAGACATACCCACAGAGAATGGTGGACATCTGCCCCTCTGGGAGACTCTCACAGTGACAGACACATGTGCAAACTCTGTGCTGTGTGTTGCCAGCCCTGTCAGGAGTCATCCTCTGGCTGTTGGGAGCATCACACGCAGGCAGCCCAGAATGGCCCTTATGAGAAGATTCATCCCCAAGGTTACCCCTTTACAGACAGCTCTGAAAGATCACTTTAGTTCCAGAGCCCTGTTGAAATTAGCTCAACTTCCCCTGCACCCTACGTGTTGCTTTCTCTTCCCCATGGGCCCAGAGAACTCTCTAGCTTGCCACACAGGGACTCGGTGTGCAGAAAAAACTGTCCACAGCCAGGTCAGACCTGCAGTACCTATAGCCCTGTGCCTCTCTGAGACTTTTGGCATCTGAAGGTACAAGCCCTACTTACAAGGCTCCACCCTGCCTCCTCTAAGTGTAGTCCATATGGATGAGCTGCAAGAAAATCCCGGCCTTCCTACTGGCTGGCCTGTCACCAGCTTGACAGCATCCTGGGAAGGAGGACACTTGTTAGGTTGGTCATTTAATCACTCGTGCAGCCTTTCAACATTCATTTTAAAACAGGCTCTTGCTGTGTGGTCCAGACTAGTAGACTAGTCTTCACACTCCCTCCTCTTTAACCTCTCAAGTGCCAGGATTACAACACCATACTTCTTTTTGTGTTTTGTGTTTTGTTTGTTTTTCGAGACGGGGTTTCTCTGTGTTGCCTTGGTTGTCCTGGAACTTGCTCTATAGACCAGGCTGGCCTCAAACTCAGAGATCTGCCTGCCTCTGCCTCCCAAGTTCTGGAATTAAAGGTGTGCGTCACCACTGCACAGAGTCAATACCATATTTATTAATAACCAAGAAATATATGTCAACCCTGAAGGTGCTAATGGTGCACAATAAAGCCCTTCGCAAGGCTGGAGAAATGGCTCAACGAGTTGCTGGGTGGTGGTGGTGGCGGCGGCGGCGGCGGCGCAGGCCTTTAATCCCAGCACTCGGGAGGCAGAGGCAGATGGATCTCTGTGAGTTTGAGGCCAGGCTGGACCGACAGCCTCCAAAACAATACAGAGAAACCCTGTCTTGTAAAACCAAAAAAAAAAAAAAAAAAAAAAAAAAAAAGAAAGAAAGAAAGAAAGAAAGAAAGAAAGAAAGAAAGAAAGAAAGAAATGGCTCAATGATTAAGAGCACCGACTGCAGCTTTTCCAGGGGTCCTGAGTTCAATTCTCAGCAACCACATGGTGGCTCACAGCCATTTACAATTCAATTTGGTGCCCTCTTCCGGCCTGTAGGCAGAACACTATATATGTAATAAATAAATAAATTTTAAAAAAAAATAAAGCTCAGCCGGGCGTTGGTGGTACACGCCTTTAATCCCAGCACTTGGGAGACAGAGGCAGGTGAATCTCTGTGAGTTCAAGACCAGCCTGGTCTACCGAGCAAGTTCCAGGACAGGCTCCAAAACAATGCAGAGAAACCCTGCCTTGAAAAACCAAAAAAATAAAAAATAAATAAATAAAGCTCTTCGCTAGAGTTTATTGGTGAGAGCATCATTCCCCAAATCTTGGCCATTTTCATACTGCTTTTAAAAGGCTTGTTCCCCAAACTCAGGCAACTTATTCATTTATTATAAATTTATTATTTAAGATAGATTCAGTTACATCTACTGCAGGGCTATAGTAAGATAGCCTACAATGTTCACAAAGGGTTATTCATTGCTAGTAGACTATGCACATTTTTAAAAGCATCCATTAAGATATCCACAGCCCACAAGCACTTTTTGTGAACAAGCCACCTTTACCGGGTGAGTGTTGCTACCAAACCTCATCAAAGAGGCCTCTCCTTACAGCAAACTGAAAAGCACAGCTGGACCTAATGCAGAGATCAATAGATCATGGGGAGCCCATCCTCAAGAGAGATACATCTATATCATGGCTCTGCATGAAGGTTCAGGGAACACCAAAGAAGAGGAGACAGAAAGAATCAGGAAGGCTGCTGTGGAACAGTCTCTCTTAGAAATGACCCCATAACAAGACTGCAACTATGGCAACATCATGGAGTAGACATGCTAACACCGAAGGGAGAAATTCTCACAGGGCCCCACCCATAGATAAAGAACAGCGGGAATTAATGACTGCTGGAGAACCCTCTTCCAGGGATGAGTCTCCTTACTGGTTGTCCAATGTAGTGTGGTCAGCCTTGAAACCATATATGCACCACCAACAAAAACTAATGGAGCAGGTGCATTTATAGATCTGTGACTTATATACATATGTATGTAGCAATCAAAGAAAGAGAGGCTACCAGTTGGAGTGGGGTGGGGGGGGATGAAGGGAGACTACCTGGAAGGTCTGAAGAATGGAGACAGAGGGGGAAATGTGAGTTCTATTTCTGTTAAAACATATTTTAAAATATGAAATATAAGCACATGTTAAAAATATATATAGCTAATACTATAACGAACATCTGTGTGTCATGTGTCCACACACACATTCGGCTTCAGGATGCACTTTATACAAAGGCTCACACAGAGACATACAACCAACATCCTCAGGCCACAGAACAGGGATTTTAACTTACTCAAGAGATACCTTGAGGAGGTAGGCTGACATTGAACGCAGAGCAGGAACTGACCCAGATGAAAAGGTATGAGCAAGGCCTGAGAAGAACATTCCAGACAGAGGCAGCAGCCAGGCCAAGTCCCTGTGGCAGAGAGAACACACTAGCATTAAAATCAAGTATAAAACAAGGGTGGGGAGCATGGCATGAACTAGACTGTCCAGGGAGGTAGAGACCAGTAATAGAAAGAAGGAAGTTGGGTTGGGAAGGACTCCACCAGCACCATCTGTAAATATCTGTGCACACAGCTGAATTATAACACATCTCTAGACTATCTGCCAAAGAACACAAATAACCAGGGTCTGTATGCATGTATCTGGCCTAGGTTCAAATCTGAGAGTCTGTGAAATGTATTCCAGGCTTGAACGTTTGGAGGCTAAGGTTATATTTGCTAAATATTTAGATCTTCTGACGAGGCTTTTGTTCCTTATATCCAGCAGGTGAGTGAAGAAAAAATGCTTTTTGTTCACAACAAATTCCCTTACACTCAAAAACAAGACAAAGTTTGTCCCCACAGCCGTGGGTGAGGGTTGGACCAAGGGAGAAGAGTGAGTGGAAACGGTGTAATTGGCTTCCTACGGCTACGCCTCCAGAGAGCCTGCATCTGATGCGGTTGTTCAAGTTTGGGGGGCTTTATTACTGGTCAATCCAAAATAATCACACACTGAGACCCACATTTTTTGTAAGAAAGAGGCAGACAGGCAGCTAGGAATCTCTTCAGAGATAGCGCTAGCTCCAGAGCTGGGGAAGGAATTGGATGGACGGAGACATCTTTACCCTGGTGAGAAACCAGAGAACCGCAAGCCTTTTGCCCAGATCAAAGGAGGAAAACACAACAGCTTGGAACAGACTGAAAACACTATCTCTTTACAGCCTCTAGGTTACACGGTGAGCCCCTGGGAGAAGAAAACCCGTTAAAGGCTGAGTGGAGACTATTACTGATTTCTGTAAGAATTGTGGCAAACTCCTCATCATAACCACTATGAATTGATCTTGTTCCTTTCAGTAACAGGACAGAGGCTGGGCTGCTTCACACTCAGAGGATAGAATAGCCCCTGCTAGGGAGGAGGGATATTAACAGACCCTGAAGAATGAAACAGAAAGGTATTCACATTACTGGGGAGTGTGATAGACACACGTGTCATTAGAATATGGCGTGAGGACGCTGAAAGCAGTGTGTGCGGGGTGCTACAGGAACACGGGAGGAAGGAAGAATTCTGCCCCGGGGGAGCTAGAGAGAGCTTCCCAGAGATCTGCAACTGTGTCTGAAGCAGATGCAGTGGCTTGACTGCTTAAGCACCCCCTATGCTGAGGCCTCCTCACCAGCGTCACAGTGTGGAGAGGTGGCTGGGTTATGACTGTCCTCATCAATGAGATTTGTGCCTATATGACAAAGAACCTGAAGGCTTGCCTTTTTCCTGCTGCTGTAGAATGCCGTGACTAAATCTTAGAGTTATACTTTAGTCAGTGATGAGAGGGCTGGAGAAATAGCCCATCAGCCCGGAGCTCAGGCATCCCTGCATCAGGAGGAAGAGAGCTCTCCTCGGGGATATGATCACCAACCAGTCCGCAGGAAGGTTGAGGACACACATGTTTACTGCCTGCCCGACTCAGGAACACTTAGCCTTAGAGACAAACACAAAAATTGGCCTGTGACATTCCTAGAACACCAAGCAAGGGAGACGGAAAACGCTGCAGACTCAAATCAGGGCTCCATGTTTATTGCGTGTCTAATCAGTAGTTCACATCGAAAACTACTTAGAAAAATCTGACAGAGATAACTGTGAAAAAGCGGCATCACTGGGTACCCAGGAGCTTCAGGAGCTGAAATAACTAGATGTACCCTGCCCTGCCCGCTGTTCCGACCTCCTTTCTCTCTCGCCCTACCCCACCCCTTCCTTATTTCTTTCTTCCTTTGAAGTTAAGTACCACGTTATATTCCGAGCTGTCCTCGAACTGACTGTGCAGCTTAGGCTGCCCTCAAGCTCCTGGATCTTCTTCCCAAGTGATAGAATTACAGGCATGAGCTATCACCCCTCGCTCGAAATAACTATCTTTACAGTGATCAAATACATTTTTCATAAAAAGACTTAATTTTGAAGAACAGAGAGGCTATCGTAAAACAAGACAGATTTAACTAAAAATGGAACTGACTTGGGCTTCAACGGAGAAATAGGAAGGGTAGAATTGTGAGCTTAGTGGGTAGAATTTTCAGAAACGGCAGACAACTCAAATGGTCATGAAAGATGTAACAATAAGATACAGGATAACTAAAAAAAATTAAGAATAAAATAACAACAATAAAGACTACTAAGAACCTGGAGAGAATCTAAAATCAAGCAGAAGCAAGAAGGAAAAATTAATCTCCAAAGCCCAGAGTAAGGAGTAAGACTTTTGAGTCGCTGTCTTCCTGGGTCTTGAGCGACACCAAATCTTCACAGACACGGCTGTGGAAAGAGGAGGGAGGCCACTGTCTCAGCTGCTGACAGTGCCAGAGAGCAGAGTTCAAGGCTGAAAATGTAGATGGAGCCTGCAGGAAAAACACTGGCAGCAGCAAAACCATGGAAGGATTATAAACCTGTGAGCATAAACTACATAGATCCCTCACCGGAAGCTAAGCCATGCGGGTGTGGCCGAGACCCTACAGGATGTAGTGAGCACACAGACAGACGCCAAGAAGAAATCTGGTCCTGCGTAGCGGAACGGTCCACATTCTAAACCAAGTACAGACCCCACCTATGAGGAAGTCATGTGGCAAAAATAGAAACCTCTAGAAAGTGTATTTGTCTGTATTATTATTAATTTATGTGTACATGTGTGCTCATGTGTGTGAGTGCATGTAGACGTCAGAGGTTTTCCTCTGTCACTTTCTACCTTTACGAAAAATACATTTAAGTCAAGCTTTGGTGGCACACGCCTTTAATTCTAACACATGGGAGGCAGACACAGACGGATCTCTGTTAAGTATGAGGCCAGCCCAGACTACAGATAAAGCATCAGGACAGCCAGGGTTACACAGAGACCCCCGTCTCATTCATGTGTGTGTGTGTGTGTGTGTGTGTGTGTGTGTGTGTGTGTGTGTGTGTGCTTGCTTACACACATGTACACCACAGCACATGTGTGGAGGTCAAGAACTAACCTATGGGAGTCCCAGGATCAAACTCAGGCTATTGGGCTTGGCAGCAAGCACCTGTACACGCTGAGACATTTTGGCAGCAAGCACCTATACACGCTGAGCCATCTTGATGGTCCTTCACATCATCTTTTGAAACAAAGGCTCTCACTGGACCTGGCACTCACTGATTGATAGATTGGCTAACCAATGGGATCTGGAGAGCCTCGTGTCTCCGCCCGCCCCCCCACTACCAGCATTAGGGTTACAGATGCTTATGACCCCACCCAGCTTTTATGTGGGTTCTGGATAACCAAACTCATGTGTGCATGGCAGATATTTTATCAACTGAGCTGTCTCCCCAGCTCTGAAAAATTAAATCTTTAGGCTCAAAGTATCAAAGATAAAGGTCAAAGATAAGATGCCAAAAATCTGGGGGCAGGGCACCTTAGAAGCAAGAAGCGCCTTCTCTCACTGCTGAAATCCTTGGCTAACTGCCAAATGACATAGGAACAGGTGAACCCCCAAGGAGCCAGGGGAAATGCAGGGATATGAAGTCATAGAACAAAGGCTATGGGTTCTTGTACACCACAAGGGTGATTTCCTACTCAACCAAAACGCAATGATCCTCCGAAGAACACAACCGAATCTAGAGTTGCCATCATGTATTATCTACAAGGCCCAATTTTCAACCAGAATTACTACATATACCATGACACACTAAACTGCACTGTACTCAGGGGAAAAGCAGCCCACAGAAATGGGCTGAGTAGTTCCAGATGTTGGATTAACAGGCAAAATCTTTAAAGCAGTTATTAAAACCATACTCAAAAAAGTTGAAGGAAAATGAGATGTATTGAATAGACTGTTGAGAATGCTAAGCACGGAAATGGACACTAAACAACAAAACAAAAATGGTAATAACAATAAAGAACACTAGGATTAAAGCAAACTAAACTGAAATTTTTAAGTCCATTATATGCACTCAATCAAAACACTGGGACAGACATGTCAGTGGACATAAAGAGATGTGAAGTCCAAACAGCAGCAAGAGCATTTGGAATCCCAGCACTTGGAAGGCGAGGCAGGATAATTGCTAATAGTCCAAAGCCAAGCAGGGCTACATCATAAGACCCTGTCTCAAAAAGGAAACAAGACGAATAAAGAATAAAAAGTGAAGAAAGCCTAGGAGGCCTGGGGGAACAATATCTAAATGTTCAAGACACAGCTAATTCAGATTCCAGCAGGGCTCGGGGGACCTCATGAGATGACTCGGTGGGTAAAGACGCCATTGTAGCAACCTGAGTTCTATTCTTGAAGTCCACACAAAGGTGAAAAGAACCAACTCTTCCAATTTGTCCTCTGTATTACACACATGCATGTGCGCACACACACATGCACACACACACACATACACACACATACACACGCCATGAACAAACTTGCAATAATAGAAAAATTAATTTATTTTTTAAAAATTTAAAGGAGCCAGGTGTGTTGGTGCACTCCTTTAGTCCCAGCACTCAGGAAGGAGAGGCAGGTGGATCTCTGTGAATTTGAGGCCAGTCTGGTCTACACAAAAGAGTTCCAGGACAGCCCGAGCTTTACTCAAAAAAATAAACAAAAAAAACAAAAAAACAAAAAAAACACAGAGAAATATTTCCTGAAAACTTCCCAAAAGAACACAAGGAAACGGGGGGTTGATGAAAATGTCTCTTTGAGTGTAGTGGTGGTTTGCACACTCATTAAAACTCCCTACCTGCATAGTATAAATGTGTATCAAATGTATCCTATACCTTATTTTTGAAGGGAAGTGGGGTCTGGAGAAATAGGACTCCACAGTCAAGAGCACTTCCTACTCTTTAAAAGGTAATTCCCAGTAGGTCCGTTGGTGGCTCACAGCCTCCTCTGACTCCGGCTCCAGGGAGACCCCACACTTCTGGCGTCCATGGGTACCTGCATTCACA